GGGTTCGTGAAGCTTTGTAAATATATTCACATTTTCGAAACACGGTAAATTTTTACCGTTTTAAACAGGTCAGGTCATAATCTGTAGTTATTAAGCTTCTAGTAAATATACGGTTTATATGGGTTTTTGTTAAAGCCACGAACGCTAGAGCGGACCGCGCGCGGATGGTCAAATGGGTTATACTGATACCTTAAAAAGTTTTTCCACAGGGCAACTTATTCCTTAAAAACGGTTTTAACCTAGGGCAACTTATTCTTTAAAACGTTTTACCCTAAGGCAACTTATTCCTTAAAAGGTTTTACCACAGGGCAACTTATTCCTTACAAACGGTTTTACCCTAGGGCAACTTATTCTTTAAAACGTTTTACCCTAGGACAACTTAGTCTTTAAAACGTTTTACCCTAGGGCAACTTATTCTTTAAAAAGATTTACCTCAGGACAGCCTATTCTTTAAAAAGTTTCATCTTAGGGCCGGCTCCTCAAACTCGGTCACTTGTTTGCCTTTTGCAACCAAGCTCTCTCATGGTAACTCGCTAAACTGTGTGCCATAGTTTTTATCAGTATTTGGTGGGATTCATGCAACAGTATTTTTCATTGTCCACTGTACGGCCGATGCCAGTACCGGAAGGAAAATTAGGAGAGCGTTTGATTTTGAACTGTGGCATGACTCCAGTTTGTTAGAAGAACGCTTTTAAACAGATTATGAAGTGCTAATTGCATAGATCATTCAAATGCATGGATCAGTGATCTGCAAGGCTTCAGTCTAATGACCATGATAACTACTTTTAACGAGAATTTTCGTCTTTGTCTGTCACAGCGCATGCCCGTGGTGTAATCGATGCAGCTATTAAACACTGGATAACTTACGTTCCTTGCCTCAAGTTTGTACTACGAGCTCATCACCATGCCAACTACGTCAGCTTCTTTGCTGGAGGAGGGTAAATACATTTACATTTTGATTTCTCTGGTACAAAACCTGAAAGAGTGATAACGTGAGACGAGAATGTGCACCTGAACTCAGAGATAGGTGTAGAGGTTCTGACAAGAGAGCAAAGCTAGAGTGGGCGAGCGAGAATTTGGGAGGATAGAGAAATTTTCTGAACGTTCAAATCAACCTGAGAAAGAGTTCTTTTCTAGTTTCGCGTTTGCATGAAATGTCTCCTATATTCTTCAGAATTGCATGGTTCGCCAATTTCCCCGTTCAGCATCAGGCTGTTTGCCTCCAGTTTATCTGTTCATGCACTGAAAATTGTCATTCATTTTCTTAGATGCTACTCCATGGTTGGAAGAATTGGGGGACAACAGAAGATTTCTATTGGTCGAGGCTGTGAATATCTTCACACTGTTGTTCATGAAATTGGTGAGTTGGTTGAAACATATGAGAATTAATAAGAAAACTTGAATTAAAACTAATTGAGGAATGAATGATATAATAGTGTAATAAATTTAACTTCTTTTTTAAAATTCTCTATAGGACACGCCCTCGGGTTCTGGCACGAGCAGTCCCGTCCCGATAGGGATCGCTACATCAATATTCTCTGGAACAACATTCCAAGTGGTAAGTAAAATAAACCAATCAAAATCGGGAGTAAAAAGAAAAATACGCAAGCGCAGGAAAATGTGTAGCAGGTGTCAATGGCTGGAACAAAATGTAACCAATAGCAAGCACAGGAAGAGTCACGCGGTCTTCATTGCACAATGGCAATTTACATTGGTATTTGATCGAACTCTCAACAGCTGCAAAACAGTTTCGATTTTACCGTTTGCTTGGACAGGGCAGTTTCCTTTTGCGATACTAGCTAGCACCATAAAGTTCTTTAGGCCATTTTTACTCCCTAAAATTAATTCTAATAAATAAAAAAATAAAATACGGTTAGCAAATTGAAAAACTGGCTACAAATTACCATAGTATACGTAAGCTAAGTTTGTCAGAGAAAGATTTTTCAATTTGAAAGTGTGAGTTAATTTTTTTATTTTTTTTTTTCGTGTAACTTGCTCGAAACTCCGCAATGAACAGTTTCATTGACGGCGAGCAACTTCACTTCATTTCAAATCTAAAATCTTTTCCATTGTCCAGGAGTCCGCTCTCAGTTCACCATAATGCCCTCAAATGCCATCAACTCACGCGGGGTCTCGTATGATTACGACAGTGTCATGCACTATCACTCCACTGCTTTTGGAAATGGACGGACAACCATCACACGTAAAGACGGAAGCACAAAGCTGGGAAACACGCGCGGGCTGAGCTCCAAGGACATTGAACAAGCGAAAAGGATGTATTGCAGTGGACAACCCACAAGCAGGCCTGTCACTCCAAAACCGCCCACGGGTAAACAACAATACAAGAAACAATACAGTTCTGTAGATAGACATGCCCTCTTTAAACGCGTCACGCAATCACGTCACGCAATGTGTCCTTTAAACCATTGTGTGACAAGTCTTCTTGTCTCGTTTTATCCATTTTAGTAGCCTATTACTTTGTGTCTCCCGCTTGTTTCTTCTTCCCCGTGTCCTGTGCTCTTAGCTGGGTCTCTGTGCTTACATTGTCCCAGGGTCAGAGGTCTCAGAGATGGCCGACAATAGACCATTTTACAGTTGTCTGCTCAGTGACCTGGCCTTTGTGTGGCAGCGAGGCTAGAGTTGACCTTGTTTTGATACAGACCTCACTGCTTTTGTCATNGGTCTGTATCAAAACAAGGTCAAATCTAGCCTCGCTGCCATAGAAAGGCCAGGTCACTGAGCAGACAACTGTAAAATGGTCTATTCTTATGATATGTACATGTTCTCTCGATAGGCTGTCAGTACAAAGACGGATACTCCAGTTGTCCATCTTGGGCAGGCCACTGCAAAAGCGGTCAATGGCAGTCATTCATGCAAAAGTATTGTAAAGCAACCTGCTTCTGTAAAGGTAAGTACTCAAACTTCAATCTCGGTGAATATCAATGGATAATCTTTCCTAGCTTTTCCTATATGTTGTATTTATTGTTCAATTGTCTGTTTCTTAGATACCAGCTCATGTCGCGACCAACACCGAAACTGCCAAGCCTGGAGACAAAGAGGTTACTGTCAGGGGAGGTACCAGGTGTACATGTCCGCCAACTGCAAGAAAAGCTGTGGTATATGCTAAAGAATCGTGTCCTGCGAATGAACTGTACAATCGATGATTCTAAAACCAAGTAGAAGAAGACTGAAGCCTGAAAAGAAGAAGAAGAAGAAAGAAGAAGAAGAAGAAGAAGAAGAAGAAGAAGAAGAAGAAGAAGAAGAAGAAGGAGAAGAAAAAGACCACGACGACGAAGAAGAAAAGTGAACTCACTCACTAAGCTAAAAGTGGAGAAATACACTTTGTTTTCCGGAGTTTTTAGTTTCGTTTGTAATATAGTTTTGCGTTATTTCATCATAGATGCGTCAATCTTATTAGAAATTGTATATTAGCTGCTATATTTATAAGAATGTCCTACGTTTTAAATAAAAAGTGCTTTTCCTTGTTGTATATAGATTTGTCACAGACTCTGTCTCCTGTACTCTTGTCAGTTCATTTCAGGTTCTTCTTGACATGTTCGCCTCTTTCGTTCCTGGTCTTCTATGAAAAAAGGCCCTGCTAAAAATTTTATGCCCTCTCTCATGAAGGGCATTTTGGTGTGTAGTACCTCGATATACTTAAATTTTACCATTCTTGTATTTCAGAAGGATGAAAACAAACAGCGGTTACAAATATCACCAATAGACAACGCATGGTCTAAAAATTAATGTATCAACTTGATGTTTCGTATGTTACAACATGCGTTGTCTATTTGTAATGTTTGTAACCGCTGTTTCTTGTCGCTGTCTATTAGAATGTTTATGATTTTACCATTCCTGTTGCCCTTCAAGCGTAACCCTTAAACATGAAATACAACAAGTAATGAATAAAAAATTATATAAGGATGCAACAAAATATCCATAAAGTCCTTTTCTTTTTCATTTGGAAAAAAAGAACGATACAAGATGAAGATCATCAGTACAAACGAAAATGTACCACAACGAACCAGGTGATAAGATAGGTTCATCGTTTAGGTTCAGATATGTTTCTTAAAACATTTGGTTGCCGGACTACAGAGACTCAAATTATAGATTTTTCCAGAGTTCAAAATGTTCTTTCACATGGTTGTTTAAATCCCTCTAAATAAACGTCCTATGGTGGCTGCTTAGCCTGTGGTGTGTCCTTTGTACCTGTATAACGTTCTGTTGGAAAGAGATTCTTCCCATAAAATAGTGTACACAATGTTTCTTATCCAACGTTTTTGCATGTTCCCCGAATTCCGGAGAAATTGAAGCACACTTTTCGTTACATGTAGTCAGTAATACATAATCCATTACTCCTCGATATTTTGCCAGAAATAGTAAGAGTTTGAAATAACGGAAAGTTACCAAGGAGTCAATATAGACAGTATGCAATATACTCCAAGTATATCACGAGGCTTGGTGGCCTCCTAGCTACCAACACTCTTTGGTCGCCGCGCAACTTCCCCCCCCCCCCACCCCCCCTCCTCAACGTTCGCTGGAGAGGAGTCCTTGACGAGCTTTTATAAGGACATCTCCGTATTACAGCAGCCTGGTATTCAAGTAGCCTCCTGGCTACGAGTACGCAGACGCTTTTTGGGCTTGTCACGCAATCTAACCCAAAGAACGTCTACGTAGGAGGCTTTTGCGTAAGAGGCTCGTGCACACACGAACTTTGCACTCAACTCGCACATCGATTATCTCGAGAGAAAAAACAGCATCTATTTTCGTCTGCATTTGGAATTTCACAATCTGGTTGAAACTTTGTCAATTTCTCCCCCGGGTTCTCCGAGCTTAATCCGGGAGCTTAATACCCTAGCTCGGCTGCAACAGATCACAACAGGGAATGGAGCGGCAGGGGAGGGGGAGGAGGGATTGAGGGGGCACGGAAGGCGTTTTCGTCCCCCATGTCAAACAGATTGCTCTGCTCACAAGTCTGTACGTCATTTGGCGAAACCTGCCGAGTTAATCGGTCTGTGTATGGCAACGTTTAGTTGAGAGCAGATTGTCCATTTCCGTGATGTACGATATCCCAGACTAGACTAAGCATAGACAGTGTAACGCATCACTGGGCGGATTTCTGCCTGGAAATACAATACACACTGAGTATACGGTGTCATGTTATTTACATCTTTCATCAACAAACTGGTCAACAAAAAGTAATTTCCTGGTTTTTTCTGTCAGGTAGTATTCCCTGATAGCACTTTTTAGATCTTTATAACTCGAAACAACACTCTTACAAAGGTTAGTGATGGCAAGGTCCACTAATAATCTGACAACAGAGCGAAAATAGCGAATGACCTTTAAAAAAGTTTACGAGCACGTGCCACAAAATTGCGGGGTAAAACAAAAACCATCTGTCCGAGGTGATTTGCCGCGTGACATAAAAGGAAAGGTGACGAAAAACTGAAATAAGAGAAGGCATAAAAATGTACCTACGACCTACGCGCGATTGTGAAATTCACTGCGTGCGTAATCTCGAGATAATGAGCGTCTAAAGATTCCTTTAGTCACCTTTGTTATCATTGATAAAGTCCTATAAAGCATTTCAAGAACCCCATTTTTTCACACCTGACACAGAAACTACCGCAGAAGCTGACGGTCGGAACAAATGATGTTGAAGTGGATTTTTACAACCTTCTTGATCGTGGCGCAAGTTCAGAAGCTTTCGTCGCAACCTACAGGTAAACTGGAATTTTGGCACTAACAAGTCACGGGCAGGGACCAGATTTTGCTTGCGAGTTGCCTTTGCTTTGGCAAAAAGTTAGTCGCAAAAGATACATGAAAGAGCGGATCCTAAAAGACCACTGTCTCTTTACCATAAATCTACTAGCTGATCAACTTTTTGCTTCTTGTCACAGGCATGCTTTACCTTACACCAATTTGTTAAGGAGAAATAAGATGTTGATTGGCTTTTAAGGCGGAAAGGTTTTTCAGTAAGTGTATTTCATTTTGCAATTGTTCGTCAGAGAACCAGGATTGCAGACGGAAAATTTAAAGGCGGTATGTAGTGTCTGAGACGCAGGCTAGGAATTGAAAGGTGTGATTTTGTTTGTTTGTTTTTTCACAGGCCAAGTGTGCGACACTCGCAAAACAACAGATGGCAACTGTTGTGTGTTTCCTTTCACTTATCATGGCGAGCTTTTCTATGAATGCACGACACGAGACTTTGACGGGAGGGAGTGGTGCTCTCTGAAGGAAGATTATGCACCAAACAGCTGGGGATTTTGTGGTAGGCTGGCATAATTAATATTTTAGTATATTTTTGCCCTCTTTACGTTGACGATACTCTGGCCCAAGAACTGGCTTTTCCTGGAGCCTAGAATAGCAAGCCAAAGCAAAGCGCGCAACGTTTCTCTCAACTGTGGGTGACCTCAGCTGGAAAGAAATGACGCGCTTTGCAAACACTAGTTGACATCTGAAATCTGAAAAATTTACTGCCCTCTGAGAAACGGGCTGAAATTTTAACGTTATTTAAGCTAAAACACCATTGTCGAAAATTTACAGCCACGGTTCCACCCCTCCCCCATCAGGCTTTAAATCTTGTCAGTGGATAACCATTTGGAAGACCTATAATTATCTCAGATGTTGTTTTGAAAAATATTGGATTTCCCTATGGTTACTATTTGCTCGAATTTCGTGATACATACTCCAGACAATGCCAGCTGTTTTCATTGAGATAAAGCTGTCGTTTTTCTCCGCAGCTTCAATTCAACCCGGATTCAACCCGCTCGTACGTAAATTCGTGCAATATGATTTTCTGGAGCTTTCTTTGACGTTGATAAGACCCCAATCCGGAAAATTTCGGGTTCTATCGACGCCCGATTTTTCGTTTCGTAGATTGATGAAACTCACAGGTACATATCCCGTTAACAGACCCTACACTACAATCGAAACCCCCCACCCCGCCCGGGGGTACTCTACAGTTTTATACTGGGAATATGGGGAGGCTCCCCTTGAGGGTCCAACTCCCTACCCTTTTGTTTACCATTTTGACAGAAAGGTAGCCCTTTCGTATAACTTTTTTGAAAAAAGGTATTCCTTTCACATGCTTTCATAACCGGCCCGTATTAGAAATAAATCGCCCAAAAAAGGAAATCTTCTTGTCATTTTCAGCCATAAGATGCTACTATTAGAAGAAGGCATAAAAAAATAGACATTGTGGGCTAATTGAAGTTTTGGGTAGTTTTTGTTTAAATTTCCACCCCCCGCGATTGCGATAAGACTTGAAAAGGTCCATATTGCATTAGTACAACATGTAAAGACCGTAAAGTGTCTCTGAGCACGTGACTGGTGCAGATGTCCATCTACACCAGACCCAGGTAACGATTACGTTGTCAGCAAACCCCCCCTCCCAACCCCCCACGACAAAAACTACTTTCTAAATTTGAGTTGGTTGAATAATTAAGTACAGTGAAACCCCGCTCTACGGACACCCGCTTATAACGGACAGTTTTCTTTGTCCCGACAACTAAAAAGCTCATATCTTTTCTTTTAAATTAGCCCGCTTAATACGGACACCCGGATAATGCGGACATGTCCCTTTGGTGTCCGTATTAACGGGGTTCCACTGTACCTGAAGTAAGGTTATCAAGAGTTTACACATCACTGGTATTGGTTTCCCTTCCCTGGGCTTCCTTTCCTTATACATTGATGTGCTTTAAATACATTTATAAATGGCAAAAATAAAACAAGAACAAGAACATCACGTTACACATACGACCTAAAGACTGAAGACTGTGTTTTGTGGATAGTAACTAACTTATTGCTATCCTCCGTAGCAAACCAGACGACAAAGCCTGTCTTTGATGCGATCCTTGAAGCAACAGGAGATAATGGCAAGACAACAGGTAAATCGTTTGACGATAGAAAAGTCAATTTCGACAGAGCAAAGGCTGGAAGTGACTCTGAAGACACCTCGTTCCCAGTCTCGCGCAGTCACTTTATTTTCTCTCGTTTCACTTTTCACGCTAAAGATTGAAAATCTCAGAGAAGTGCGGATTAAGCGCAGTCCACGCAAAATGCGAGAAATATGGTTGAATTAATCTTACACCGTCGGCGCTCATTTCTCTTTCCCTCTTTTATAGATGGAGTCGACGTGTTTCAAGGTGACATTGTTATGACGCCAGATATACGCAACAGCCTGAATAGCCGAGGGATCCTGGTGCCTGGTGATGATCCGAGTCGTTTTCTTCCTCAGGGGTGGGGTAAGCAGCCTCAGAGGAGATCTAAGAGGGCCCTGATGAAGGTATCCAGAGGTAGTGACTTGAGATGGCCCATTGGGAGAAGTGGAAAGCGAGAAGTGCCCTATGAAATTACCTCTAGTAACAGTAAGTTTTAATTTGCTTCGTATTTCGAGTCAACTTTGATTTTTAATTAGTCAATTGAATGAGAAAACACCTTATTTTGTTTAAAGCTTCTAGAATCATCGAGAGAAATATTGTTTTTCATACTAGGTAACGAGAGACCAGTCATTCTGCGCGCACTCAACCATTGGATGGAGAGAGTCAAGTGCCTGAAATTCGTTCCCAGAAACCGTCACAGCCGTTATCTCAGCTTCTTCTCCGGTGGAGGGTAAGACGATAGTTCTTTATTTTTTCTTGACGGTTTTCATTTCTTCTTGCCGTTGGCTGACGTCTCCTCCCTGCCACTGATACTCGCTGAAAGCAGGAGTCCTCCTGGACTAATGGACTCCTGCTGAAACTGTAATCGAAACTTTCATTTTCGAGCAAAATCTTGGCGACCTAGAGAACAAACTTGTCCTGAACTTGCCTTTGTGTAGGCTTCGTATAAAAACGTACGAAACAGACTGCAGGCCTGCTGTCCACCGATTGGTCAAAGCCTTTTTCTTTCCAACCCAGAAGCAGCATTTATAGAGCCTACTTTTCGAGGCCTATTTTATTCCTCGCCGATTTTTTCAACCTTCCCTCTCCTCCGCTGCCTGCCACTGAGTGTCCACGGGTGTCTACAGATTAAAGAGGCGTGTCTACGAACGGGACTATCTGCTTTCTTAATCACTTGCGAAGGACAGAAATAGAGAGAATGTAAAACGCTGGGTACTGGGTTCGTACTGTTTGTCACTGGATGGAAACATCGAAAGCTCCTGAGTCTTTCTATTGATATAAACTGTTAACCATGATTTGTTTCAGGTGTTATTCTATGGTGGGTCGTCAGCCTGGCTCGGGCCCACAGAAGGTCTCAATAGGAAGGGGCTGTGGGTATTTGGGTGTCGTCGTACACGAAGTAGGTACGTATTTTGTGAATTGTTTTTAAAACGTATAGACAACTCTGCTTGTGTTCTTTGCCTAGAAGCCAGGATGAAGCTCGTTGATTGACTGACTGACTGACTGACTGATTGAATGATTGATTGATTGATTTGTTTTGTTTTGTTTTACATACAGGCCATGCGCTCGGGCTCTGGCACGAGCAATCCCGTCCCGATAGAGATTCCTACGTCACCATCAACTGGGGAAACATCCAAAGAGGTAAAGTATGAATATCCTCACATATCGTTAAATAATTTTTTAATAAATATATCCTCATATATGTTCGTAATAACGAAGCGCGCGAAGTCTAAAAATAGAAGGCAAATTATTGGAAGCTCGCGAGAGTCAGACAACATAAGCGTGTTCTAAGAGAAATAGGAGGAAAATGAACGCCAAATTTTCGTTTTAAAAATTGTTTTGGAACACTTGCTTACGAGCTTGAAAAGGCGTCAAATCTTTTACTACTCCGTTTTGTTTGTCTGAGTTTGTCTGAGTTATGACGTCACTCGCGCGCTTCGCTATTGTCCAAGGCTAAGTTACTATTAATAATCTTATGCTTAATGATCTATAAATTCCACCTCAATCTTAATGCGTTGTTTTATTCGACGCTAGTATTTGAGTTTTCTCTGTCGCACTTTCACGACATACTGGTTCATTTTTTTTTTTTTTTTTTTTTTTTTTTTGCAATTTGCAGAATTTCCATAAGATATGATCAAAGGAAACTTTAAAATATCAAAGAACCTCAGAAACATAATGATGAACGAAAAAGAAACAAGAACTGGGGACGATTTATACACATTGCATTAAAAAATTTGAAACATTTTGTCTACATTTTCCGTGACGTGTGTTGCTTTTTAACAGTTCTCTCCCCTGACCTCTCCACTTAGGAATGGCGTACAACTTTCACAAGTACGGAACCAATCGTGTCGACAGTCTTGGTGTTTCTTATGACTACGACAGCGTTATGCATTACTCCTCCACTGCTTTCGCCAACCGAGCGGGGGTAAGAACTATAGTAGGCAAGAACGGCCGTACTAACCTTGGACAGCGGTATGGTTTGAGTAAGAAGGACATTGAGCAAGCGAATCTATTATATTGCGGACGACAACCACCAGTCACCAAGCCCCCTCCAAAGCCCCAAACTCCTCGTCCACCAGGTGGGTCAGAGAATTCTGCAATCTATCCTAATTGAGGGACGTCAAAGGGTTTTGTCAGTTGCTATTGGTCGGTTAGTCAGTCAGTCAGTCCGTGAGTCAGACAGTCAGTCAGTTGCTCGGTTAGTTAGTCAGTCAGTCAGTTTCTCGGTTAGTCAGTAAGTCAATCAGTTGACCGCTTAGTGAGTCAATCAGTCCGTTAGCCAGTCGTCTCTCAAGTGGTCGGTTAGCTAGCTAGCTAGTTAGTTAGTTAGTTAGTTAGTTAGTTAGTTAGTTAGTTAGTTAGTTAATTAATCAGTCAATCATTCTGTCGCTCTCAGTCGATCAGTTACTCATTTGGTCAGTCAGTCACTAAGCCGGTTAGTCATCCAAACATTCAGTTAGTCAGAAATTTAACTGTTCAATTGGACAGTCGGTCACATTCAGTAGCTGAAACTGTCGGTCGATTACCTTCTTTATATAACAAAACAATTCTGACTAAATAGGCCCTTTGCAGCTAAGCCATCACGTGACCTATTTTTCATAATATTATGGACTATAACTTAACGAATGCCAGAAATAGAAAAAGCTTGTCGAAAATATCAAAATGGCCAAGTTTGAGGCCCCCATCATTAAAGAAGGAGATTTTATGACGGTCCGAATTTTTAAAAGCTCTCCAGCAACATTTTACATACAAATCCTCTAAATTTTCCGAAAATTCAAACTGTCTTATAAACTTACTCTTTAATTCCAGGGGCCTCAAACTTTACTATTTTGGTATTTTCGATACGCTCTTTCCATTTCTGGCATTCTTTAAGTTATAGCTCATAACATAAAAATTTTCTAGGAAAAATTTGGTCACGTGACCCCAGCTGCAAAGAGCCTATTAATTTGAGATATTAACGCAAAACTGATTTATTAAGCGGTAGTCGCCGACTCATCGAAATCTCTGGTCTTCTCTTCCAACTTTGCAAATAGTTATGTTTCGTGTCACCCGAATGGAGTGTAGTATTAATTTCCGTATTTTTTTTAAAAGGTTGTTCGTACACTGATCAAAACAGTTACTGCTCATTTTGGAAGAGTCAAGGCTATTGTAGTAACCCACAGTACTCAAGCTACATGAATCAGAAATGTCAGAAAAGTTGCAACTGCAACGAACCCGGTGAGTAAAACATGCTATTTGCTTGTCATGCAATTCAGGTGTTCACACAACGCAGCGTTTATGTGACGACCCACATCTTCAGTTCGCCCCCGGGCTTCTCACCTGCAGGGAAGAAGAATTTGATGCTACATCGCGACAACACGACTACATCATTCCTTCTTCCCCAAGGGTGGTATGATAGTCCTTCACGGGTTATTTCTTGTCTGGTTGCCCCAAAGTTCAATGCATGATATACGTATCTACTTATTCTCCAGCGTATAGAGTAAGGTAATGTGTGGGAATTAAGTGCCTTTGTTAGTCAAGGGCATCCACAAAGATCACAATCCAAGGCTCAAACCTACCTACTCCCATACAGCATTAAAAGGAGTGTGTTTATGAAAAAAAAAAAAAAAACAAGAAAAAAACAAGGTACCTTTGCTGTACGTAGCGCTGCATGTAGACTTACCACAAGTCGACCTCATGAGTTTCAGGGTAGAATAGCGTAGCCGACCAAGCTAACTTTTCTGAAAGTCTACGCTAGATGATAAAATAAAGTTCTCCTCAGTTAGCTTTTTACTAACACCTAGTTAGACAACGGATTGGGTCCGCTTTTCCCATAAAGGCAGTAACTAGTTGTAAGTTTTGCTGTTCGGTTAGTTGATAAGTCATTTTTCTTTTCACCTAGTTGTCTGTCAAGACAAGCACAAATACTGCGCTGGCTGGGCCAGGACACCGGGAACCTGTAGACGTTACGAACGCTACATGAATATCTACTGCAAGAAGAGCTGTGGAAAGTGTTAACCGATCCAGTTCAATAGCTTTTTCTGAGAATCGAAAGCCATAGATGAATATACCATAAGCTCCCTAATAAGACTTTTAAAAACAGTTACACCAATCGCTCCTGAAAAGAATCCTTTTTTAATCCATAGCTAACTTTTGGACGCTTATTTACAAGGATTTTAGTTGCCACATTAATTAAATCGAAAATACTGAGATTGTACTGTGTATTAGCTTGTATATTTTAGCAAAAACTCAACATTGGGCTAAACTGCTGTCAAGACTTTTTTTTTT